AACAAAGGCAGAAGAAAAATGATTAAATTTCGGGGAGGCTGGGTGGCTCAGTCATTAAGTGTCTGCCTTCGGCTCAGGTCACGATCCCAGTGTCCTGGGATCAAGCGCCGCATCGGGGTCCCTGCTCCGCGGGAAGCCTGCTTCTCCTTCTCCCACTCCCCCTGCTTGTGTTTCCCTCTCTTGGGGTGTCTCTCTCTGTCAAATAAATAAATAAAATCTTTTTTTAAAAAAAAATGATTAAATTTCCTTACTATCTACAGCCCAATGACAAGTCCTTGAAACAGGCAGAGTAACATTCCTCTAGGGACTCAACTGCTTCAATGTTGATACTTTGCTAAGGGCAAAAGGCAATCTTAGCCCAACCCCAGGACCCTATGAGTCTACTTTTAAAAATTCCTTTGGAAACTTCCTTTATATCTAAACCCCCCAAGATACATGTTGGCAATCATCACCCAAGCATATGATCCACCAATATACATCTGAAAGGTCTCATGACTCAGGTTTTATTAGACAGTCATAAATGACCTTTTCCCAACAAAAGCTAGCCCCCTCAAGGTTCTGGAAATCTTGCTTCCAAAATTCCTTAGAGACTTACCCTAACCCTAACCCCCTCCCAACTTGAAAATATATAATGGGCCGCTCCTCATGACCCCAGAGCAGCTCCTCCTGCCTATGGGTCCTGCCCTTGTGCTTTAATAAAATCAACTTTTTGCACCAAAGATGTCTCAATTCTTTCTTGGCCGTTGGCTTCGAACCCTAATGTTCTTTCCTACATCATCAACAGAAAACCGTATAAAAGTCCAAGCCTGCTAAAAGGTCAATATAGCCACACAAGTATATGAAGCCTAGCATTGTTACCAACTACCATTTCCAAACTGGAGCTTGTTATGTTCTTATGCAGAAAAACCACTTACTATGGGAATAAGAGAGAAATTTAACGAAGTAGACATAATTTTACTTACTTAGGAAAACTATAAATTCTGTAAAAATTTTTCTTAAAGATATTATTTATTTATTTGACAGAGAGAGACACAGCAAGAGAGGGAACACAAGCAGGGGGAGTGGGAGAGGGAGAAGCAGGCTTCCCGCCAAGCAGGGAGCCCGATGTGGGGCTCGATCCCAGGACCCTGGGACCATGACCTGAGCCGAAGGCAGACGCTTAATGACTGAGCCACCCAAGCGCCCCAAATTCTGTAAATTTCTTTACAACAGTATCCCCCTTTATGAATTTTTCATTATCAGTAGATCACTTCCCACTGCTCCCTACATCACCTCCATTAAACCAAATATTAAGTTCTTTGTGCTACTGTGTTCCTTATCTTGATGCCCCTTTAAAACACTCTAACTCAAGGGGTGCCTGGGTGGCTCAGTCATTAAGCCTCTGCCTTTGGCTTGGGTCATGATCCCAGGGTCCTGGGATCGAGCCCCGCATGGGACTCCCTGTTCTGCAGGAAACCTGCTTCTCCCTCTCCCACTCCCCCTGCTTGTGTTCCCTCTCTCGCTGTGTCTCTGTCAAATAAATAAATAAAATCTTAAAAATAAATAAATAAATAAAACAAAACGCTCTAACTCAACTTGAAGAAATCTTTTTACCTCTCAGTTGGTTCCTTTTTTTATGCTCATTCTCTCCAGAGGTGTATTTTTTTTTCTGCATTACAACAGTAGAACATAAGGCTTTTGAGTTATTTTTACTAAGACTTAAAATTTATTTTTAAAGACTTTTGAAGACTTCCACTTCCAATACTATTGTGGGCCAAAATGTCTGAGGGGCTGTTTATAAACCACAGGATCCCACATAAGAATAATTTTTATGCAGGAGAGTCACAGCAAGTAGAGCAAGTAAGGAAAAACTTCAAGGTTCTCCCTTTAACCAAAAGAAGAAAAAACAAAAAGAACTCAAAGATCTACAAATAGCAAATAAGCATATGAAAATATGCTCCACACATCAGGGACATGCAAATTAAAACAACAATGAGCTACCACCACATACCTGTTAGAAGGGCCCAAATCCAGAACACTGACAACACCAAACGCTGCGGGAACTCTGACTCACTGTCGATGGGAGTGCCAAGCGGTCCAGCCACTTGGGAAGACGGTTTGGCAGTCTGGCCTTTGGTGCTCCACCCAGATCTCTTTGAATCCCTTTTACCAGCACTGGGTGCCCACCCCCAACTTTTGAAACTTTGCTGCTGCTAATGGCTTCCACCTGCCCCCACCCTCAGAGTCCCACCCCAGGACCCAGAGCAGAGACACAGAAGCCCCTGGGAGTTCACATCCACCCAAGCTCCTAGGAATGCCCCTTGTCAGTGACTGATGCAGAAATATGGAAGCTCAGCTCTCTTGCCTTAAGGGGTGACAAACTTCACACAGCATTTTATGCTCCGGGACTCCATGGAATCTTGTTGATCCTGGGACTTCTCCTGAAATCATATCCTTATTAGTTGGCCTCTTTGTCTTCCTTTTCCTGTCCCCACCAATCCCTCACTGGTTTCTCCTGGGAGCACTTCTTTAATAAATTGCTGGCCTGGGAATCCTTATCTCAGGATCTGATTCTGAGGAACCGGAGCTAAGACAACCTCAAGTACTGGAATTATTAGATATATGATACAAAACAATTAAGTGCTCAAAGATTTAAAAAATGTAATCACAAAGAATGAGCAAACAGTGAGAAGCTATTAAAAATGAACAAGTATATTTGGTAAAGAAGCAGATAGAACTATTAAAGTCAAAATTTAATTACTGAAATAAATTCAATGGATGGCTTAAATAACAGATTAGACATAGCTAAAACTAGAATTAGTGAACTGGAAGAAAAATCTAAAGAATGTATCCAAAATATATTCCAACAAGACAGGGAGACAGAAAATATAAGAGAGTTTAAAAGATGTCAAGGCTAGAATGTGTTGGTTCAATAGACATAGAATCAGAATCCCAGAAAGAAAACTAGACCCAGCAATCTCATTCTTAGGTAGGTACCCTGTAGATATTCTTGCACTTCTGCACCAGGAGACATATGGAAGGATACAAATGGCAACATTGTTTACAATAGCCCACAACTGGAAATAGCTTAATGTTCATCAGCAGGATAAAACATAAGTAAATAATAGCAAAGTCACACACTAGAAAATTATATAGCAATAAGCAATAAACATAGATGTACTACAGCTATAAGCAATAACATGGATGAATCTCAAAAAATTCTTTTATAAAGCACAAAAATAAGCAAAACTAAACCATATATTATTTAGAGACTCATATCAATGATAAAACTTTTTTAAGGCAAGGTAACAGTATAGTCACTTCTGGTGAGAAGATAGGGGATCAGTTTCAAAAGGTGTACACAGGGTATTGACAATATTCTAGATCTCAAGATGGATAGTAGTTTCATGAATGCTCATTTTATTATATTCTTCATAAACTAGCATAAATGATCTATTTTATATATATTAAATATTATATTAAAAGTAATGTTTGTAGAATCTCTATAAAACAAATAGTATAGATGGGTGCTAAAGGAACTCAGACACACCCTTACCATGTCAGATGAACCACAGCTTGAATCTTGTATCTTACTGTGTCTTTGAGCAGGTTACTGACCATTCATAGACCTAGGCGTTCTCATAAAATAAGGGCAATAATATCTGCCTCATGGGGCTTACTATGAGAATTTACATGGTAAGATTACTAGACTATAAGTTCCATGATGGGTAGGACTGTGTCTCTCTTACTCATCTATGTATCCCTAGTGGATAGCACGTGCCTGGAACATAGCAGGTATTTATGCTAATTCCTCTTCCTTCTAAAGAGTACAGAACAAAGTGTTAGGAGAATACGTGTTTAGCTTTACAGTGGTTCTTTCATGGTTTTTGGTTTTGAGGTTTTTTTAATTTTTAAAGATTTTATTTTTAAGTAATCCCTACACCAACGTGGGACTTGAATTTACAACCCAGAGATCAAGAGTCACATGCTCCACCGACTGAGCCAGGCAGGCACCCCTGTTTGTTTGCTTTTCAGATTGACGTTTCATCTTGGCATTGACTATATGTTACTATATGTAAGAAGTAACTTGACTTCTCCGGGTTTTAGGTTCTTAATCTGTTGCACAACAAAACTGAACTAAGATATATAATTTCTCAGTGTCTATAGCCTGATGTCACACCATATATATTAGTCTTCAAAAAGTAAACAATAAAGTCAGCATATTTTTGTTACACAAAATGCAAATTCAAGTTACACGTTCATGGATATCCCCCAAGAAGAATAACTACCTCAACAATACCATGTGTGAGATGATCCAAACTGTGTTCAGCGATAGTCCTCTTAGGTGAATGTGTCATGAATTAGGGCCCTTTTACCTTCCAGCACATTACATTAGTTTGGTGCTTCTATCTTCGACCTCCCTCATTCTTGGCCTCTTTCCTATGGTTCCTATTTTTCTTCTGTGATTATTCCCAAAACTCAGCCCTCCTCATGCTTAGCACTCAGTGTGTGTAAGTTCATCAACTCTGACACCTTTAACTATTACAGTTATCACAATTCATATGAGTCCTGACAACATTAGATCAGTAGGTCAAAACAAACCTCAGGACCCCCGTTCCTAAAATGTAATGCCCATGCAGCTCTGGCTACCACATGCTGAGCGCCGACTCATCTGCCCAGAGGGAACACAGGGAAACCCAGAGCTCCAGGCTTGTGTGACACAGGAGAGAAGCTTACTCACTCAGGCTGGAAGCTTAAGAGGAATGTTCAGCTCCTCCACTCCCATCACACGTCTTTACAATCCTAACGGCCCTCTCATAATCTGAGCCCCTTCTTCAGTCCGAATTGGTTATGGCTCACCCACCGTGGGCCTGGCCTTTCCAGCTCAAAGGCACTGTAACAGCCATCAAATGGAAGAGGAAAATCACAGATATTTACAGCCTTGAGAATATGATAAACAAAACCCACTGAGAGCAGCAAGAGCTGTTTCAATTCCCCCTGGAAGGTGCCAGCTAACTTACCTGATCTTTTCCAAGGCATTTGTTACCTGCTGTGGCTCAATATCATAGAGTTTCACCTTGAAGCCTCCACTGGCAAACAACATAGCCCAGCTTTGCCCAATGAGTCCGCTAAAAGGAAAGAAAATAACCCAGAATGAAATTTTTACAATTATACAGCATCCTATTTTAAAATACTTAAAATCTTAAAATTATATATTTGTCTAGCTGTATTTATTTAAAATGTTATCTCTTTCCATATAGGAGCCCCTGAAGCCTCAGCTCCAGGGTCAGCAGTAACCTTCTGCCTGGTACACTGCGGGGTGTCAGGTGGTTAACATTAGTTCACACACTGAAGCAAAAACTTACAGGAGAGAGGTGGGAGGGTGTGGTGGAGGCAAAAGGCCCCTCTGTGAACCCCCATTTGACCACTGTTTCAGGCAAGTTACTTAATGTGAAGAAAAGAGAGAGTATTTTCCCCATCCTCCTCAAATAAATAATTGCTGCTACCACCAGCAGCTTTTGAACAGATCTTGGATGCCAGGCAAGATTTAACATCGTATGTGGCTTTCCTCCGTTAATCTTTACAACAACCCCACAAGGTAGGTGCTATTATTATTTCCCATTTTATATATGGGAAAACTGAGGCACAGAGGGGTTAAGACTATGCAGGCTGTACGTGCTGGAGCTATGAGATGAACCCAAACAGCCCGACCCTCAGATCCTAACTAGTGGTACCTCTCTCTGCCCACACTGTTTCAGTGTGTTACCAGAAAAGGAAAAGATAAAAAAGACATGAAGAACTTACACAGAGTTGTTCAAAAGGTTAAAAATGAATGTTAAGGAGCACATCTAGAGCCCAAAACTTGGTTTCTAATATCATTCTCCAATAAAGGGAACCAAGGCTCTTTGAAGAAACGGCTGATTCTAGGACTAAGCCAGGAAATACACAACATGAGCCCAGAGTAATTGGGAGTGCCAGAACGTACACAGTGCTCACAAAAAATTAAAATTTAAAAAAAAACTGTAAAAGCCTATCTTGACAGAACATGTCAAAGGAACGCAGGAGCCAACTGAAAGCTCTAGGGGACAAAGCTGGAGTAAGTTGAGCAAAAAAGTAAAGAACACTGGATTATAACCCAAAGTATAAACTACGTATCCATGAGTCCACACTGATATCAATAAATGTTTGAATAAATGGGAGGAGAAGCCAAATCTCCCTTGCAGAAGAACTGCACAATAATTTATGTAGACACTCTGCCCTCAGAGAGTTGTAACATAACTCCCCACTACTGAAGCATGGGCTTTACAGAATGACTTCCTTCCAAAGAGTACAGTAATGAAAAGGGAAAAGTTAGAGTGACTTTACAGTGGAGAAAACTGGCAAACACTACCTCAGATAAGTGATCAAGGTCAACAACAGTGATAAATAATGTTATAGGATGCACCCTGGATACAACATGATGAGAAGGGCACTTCATCTCTGTAGTCTTCCTCCCAAATACCCATCACCCTTCTAATAATGAGAAAAACATCACTCAAATCCCAACACAGAACAGTCTCCAAACTATCTGACCACCACTCCTCTTCACTGTCAAGGTGACTAAAAACAAAGAATATCTAAGAAACTCACAGTTGAGAGGAGCCAAAAGAGAAATGACAAGTAAATGTAATTTGGTGTCCTGGATGGGATCCTGAACATTAGGTAAAAACTAAGGAAATCTGAATAAAGTATGGATTACTAAATAATAATATATCAATATTAGCTCATTAATTATAAGAAATGTACCACACTAATATAAGATATTAATAATAGGGAAAACTGGGTGAGGGAGTATATAGGAACTTTCTGTACTATCCTCACAATTTTTCTGTAAATCTAAAAAAATAAAGCCTATTTAAAAAAAAAATGAATGTTTATAACAGCAATTCCACTCCTAGGTATGTACCCAACAGAAATGAAACATATGTCCCGAAAAACACCACTTTGTACATATATGTTTATATGAGCCTTATTCACAACAGCTAAATCGAAATGACCCAAAAGTCCAATAGCTAATGAATAGGTAAATAAAATGTGGTATACCCATAAAAAGTTATTCAGGAACAAAAAGGAATAAAGTACTGATATGTGCTACATGGAACCTTAAAAAAATTCTCAGCAAAAGAAGTCAGTCAGTAAGGTCTACATATTGCATGATTCCACTTCTAGGAATTGGCAAATCTCTAGAGACAGAAAGTGGATCTGTGGTTGCCCATGGCTGGAGAGGAAGGAACAGGAGTGACAGCTGATGGGGGCAGGGTTTCTTTTGGGACAATAAGAATACTCTAAAATTGACTATAGTAACAGTTGTACAACCCTGTGAATATACTAAAAGGGTGAATTGTGTGCCAGATGAATCTCAACAAATCTGTGATTAAAAAATGAACGTAGGGCGCCTGGGTGGCTCAGTTGGTTAAGCGACTGCCTTCGGCTCAGGTCATGATCCTGGAGTCCCTGGATCGAGTCCCACATCGGGCTCCCTGCTCGGCAGGGAGTCTGCTTCTTCCTCTGACCCTCCCCCTCTCATGTGCTCGCGCTCTCTCTCTCTCTCATTCTGTCTCAAATAAATAAAAATCTTTTAAAAAAAAAATGAATGTATATGAAAATGTTTTGAAAACCAACTCCTGCCACACAAATGTAAAGCAATAATACTTAGTAAGCTATTAAATTTGGTTGAGCGGAAGGGCAAAGAGGAAATGATTATCACATTTGGTGGAATGTAGGTGGTTACCTTGAAGCACGATTAGAATTCTTTCCCCAAAGGTGCTTGCCTGCTACATGAGTGTTCAGCTAGAGGTGAGAGGAAATCAAGGGATTTCTCCAGAGGAGGTGACGTACAGGAAGGTAGTCCATAGAGCTAATAGGCAAAAAAATCCACTTCAACTTGTCTCTAATTCCAGTGGAATTTGTCTCCAAATCCAGTGCTGTTTCATTACATTCCAAGCTCACCCATTCAAAAGGGTATACCACAGTTTCCCCTTACGGGACCCATAGGCTAACATATATTTGATGATGCTCCACAAGGGCAGAACTAGTGGTGGGGCCAGTGAGAACTTACGGAGCCTGCTGAGTAATCCAACTCTGGATGCAAAGAACAACTATCTGTGTTCATCATCTTATGATTTTAAAAATGACCGCTAAATTATTCAGACTTAAAAGGAAGGAAATTCTGGACACATGCTACAACATGGATCAAGGTGGAAGACATAATGCAAAATAAAATTAACTCAGTTACCAAAAGACAAATACTGTATGATTCCACTTGTATGAGGTACTTAGCGTAGTCAAATCCATAGAGACAGAGAATAGAATGGTGGTTACCAGGGGTTGGGGGAAGGGAGCACTGGGGACGTGTTATTTAATGGGGACAGAGTTTCAGTTTTGCAAGAGAAAAAGTTCTGGAGATTGGTTGCACAATGTAAATGTACTTAACACTACTAAACCACACACTATTCTCACAACTTTAATATGATTTGAAACTTTTCCATAATATAAAGTGTATGAATGGGAAGAAAGGAAGAAGAGACAGAATATAGACAATTTTACTGAGGTCTGAAGAAAAATGTGGCAGTTACTCAAAGGAGAAACGAGGTCAAGAGGGGATACTTATGAGGCTGGGAGAAATAACCATGTTTACATGCTGTAAAGCATGATTCCCCGCAGACAACACAGCACTTTGGCCTGAGGCTCCTGCACCTACTTCCACTGCTTGGGTCGTCCTGAGGCTTGATGTTACTCAGGAAAAGGCAGCCCCAGTAATCAAGCAGGTGGAAAATCCCTGGAATTGGAGGTATCGAAACAGAGGTAGGTAATCACTTGACATCAAAAATTGGGTAGGTGATTAGACAATGCTCCACTTTTCTCTCAATCTTGAGATTTTTCCAATGCCATTTGGAATATTAAAAGTGAATTGCATCTGATCCACAAATTGCCCTTGGTACTCTTCATACAGTGCAAAGAGAAATCAACATTCTCTAGGGTTCCTCTAAATTGGAATCTTCTCAAAATGTGATCCAGATATCAGCAGCAACATATTCCCCATTTCGGAGGGGCCGAAAGGGGTGTGTGGACAAAGCCAGGCATTGAGTGGTGCGAGGCACTTTTCCATGAGCACTCACCTGTCTTGCTGGCTGTTCTTCAGCCAGACCATTTGTCAGAGTTATTTTGCAGAAATACATCCCTCGAGGATAAAGAGCAAGCTTGCTTACCTCTTACTATAAAAATAGTTGTTTCCCCAAGCTCAATGTTCCTGTCCTAGAACACACTGAATCTGCAGGTATCCACCTGGAACCTCCACATCTCCCCCATGGGACTCAGGGCAAAAGGAATAAACGCTAATAGGATGCTCATGCTGCCTGCCCTGCTATGATTAAGAAAATTCTCTGTCTCTGACCCATGAGTCTCATGTCCTCTGCCAGCATTGAGGAAGTATTAACAAGCTAAATTATTAGCTTGCAAGTAGACAGAACATTCAGCAGGACAAGCTTGTCTCAGATGTGGTGTCATTTCATTGTAGTAACTACGTGCTACTTTGGGGAAGGGGGGTGGCCAGAATAGCAGTCAAAGGATGGGCTCCAAGAAGTATTATCCCCACTCCGTCTCTCCTCCCCCTACCTTTCCTAATTCAGCTAATTTATCATTCAGGCTCTGAATACAGAAAGCACTCCACACAGTTACAATGCTCCCCCACCTTCCGTCAGGCTTGGGCCCAAGCAACTGAAGGGAAGAGCTTGGCATGCCTCCCTCCTATTGACCTGAAAATCCTATTAATGCCACAGAAGTGCTATCCAAGCTTCAAAGCCCTCACACAATGCTCACTTGAGCTAAGCCTCTAATACATACAAGGGGTTATTGAGAGGGGCTACTACCTTGTTACAAGGTATCTTATGTGAAGCCATTTGTTGGAAAAATGGAGTGAAAACAACTAAAATACTTCTACTCAATTTCAGGAGAGGGAACAGGATTATACAAAATGTTTTACTCCATATTCTTCTGCAATATTAAAATATTTTACAAGTGGGGTGCCTGGGTGGCGCAGTCATTAAGCGTCTGCCTTCAGCTCAGGTCATGATCCCAGGGTCCTGGGATT